CACTTTGTGCCTTTATTGCCCCCTCATTTTAGGTAGCCAATGTCTAAGTTGCCCATCCCTATCTACCCTGTGTACAGAGAGGATAGCATTGATACTTGATGTGAAGACTCCTTCCCTCTCTGTTGGTATTTTGCGCTACTACGATGGCACTTAACAACAACAACAACAACCTCCATGAGTATAGGTCAAGTTCATCAAATTGTAGCAGTTTACTCTCAATTCCTTTATCAAAAATTATTATTTTTTTTAATCTTCCTCTAGTTGAGTTCTGATTATCAAGCCATCGAGGCTAGCTTAAATGGGTACTATCTGCAAATTTGAGTGTTCTTGTGTGTCTTCCCTCACTTCATATCAGCTGGATGCTTCATTCTCAGCTGTAGCCCTTTGTGTCTATGTCCTTGTTCATGGGCTCAGGTGTCCCACAGTTTGTACCAACCAACCCTTCCTCTTCTCTCTCTCTTCTAATTTCCAGGTCAGTCACATGCATTTTTGATATGGATTGAATGAGTTTCTGTTTATTGTAATTAAAAGAGTCTGTCTTCTCCTTGGTTCTTCAAGGGCAGGGACTAAATATCTTTGTATTTAAATTAATTTACAAATGTCTTGCTGGTAATAGGTACTCAATAAATGTTTGTTGAGATAAAGAGCATCCAAAGTTGAAGCACTATGTTATATTTAGGAGTAATCAAAACAAACTTGGGGGTTTAGGGAAAGCTTAAACAAAAATCTCCAGAATGAATTTATTGATTGTATTTTAATTTTACCTGAGCATATTCTTCCACAATTCTTACTTCTTCTGCCACAATTTCTTCATCCTGTTTAACAAGCAACTGAACTTTCTCAACTACTTGTGATTCCTTCTGTAATTTTTCCATAAGTATTTCTGTTTCCTAATGAACCAAACAATTCTTAGAATTATACAAGACCATAAATTCAAACATATCATTTTTAAATTATAAAATTTATGAATATCTGCCTGAAATATAGACTATGGTGACTAATATAAATATCAATTAACATAATTCACATACAAGTGGTGATGCATCATCATTTTTAGAATATTTCTAAAACTGATTAAAATTTACCAAAGCACATTTCCGATACATTTAACTAAATAGCTAGGAGAGTCTCTGAATGAGTTTCTCTAATTACTTATATGAGGGGACATCAAAAAGTTGATGGAAAATGGAATTGAAATATGGTGGAATTTTCTCAAGAGCTTTTTGAAGCTCGTTGCTGGTTAAGCACTGGACTGTAAGGTTGGTCATTGAAATCCACCAGTCATTCCATGGGAGATAGTTGAGGTTTTTTGCTCCTGTAAAGATTTACAGCCTCAGAAATCCTATTTAGGGTTGCTATGAATAAGAATTGATTCCATAGCAGTGGGTTTTGTATATCTATTATCACATTTCATTATTAAAATGTAACAATGCCACTATTTAGATGTTTTTATTTTCCAATTGCAGTTAGAAGAGGTATGTAAATTATTATGTTACGTAGCTACCCAGTAACACAGCTGTAATTCTAACCCATTTTTATGCTAAACCATTTTAATGCCTTTACTTTCAAACATTGTTCTATATTAAACTATAAAATCTTTAAGAGTTTTCAAACTAGGTCTACCTTTGTTTTTTGTTCTATCTGAGGACCAAGATTTAGGAGCTCCTCCTGCATATCTGTAACTAGTGTGGTTGCTTCCAGGATCTTTGATAGACCCATATGAAAACGATTCCTGAAGAAAAAAGAGATAATAAGAAGGTATAAGATATAACGAAACACTAGTAAGTAGAATTGTACATATTGGTCAAATGGGCTGTAGTCAAGCCTTACTCAAGGCTGGTTCCATATTTGATAATCAATCAACTGAAATTAACTCACTGTATTAACAGGCTAAGAAAGAAAATTTACCAGGTTATATCAATTGACACAGAAAAAGCATTTAATAAAATTCATGATAAACTATTACAAAATTAGGATTAGATGGTATGATAGTTAGGCTGTGTGTCATGTTGATTGGCCCATGATTCTCTGGTTTGGCAGCTATGATGTAGTTTAGCACCTGCACCATGAGCGCTTCTATGAGGAGCCAATCAGTTGAAAAATAATTAAAGAATTTCTTCAGAAGTGTGCCCTGCATCCAATATATATAGGTGTTTTGACAAAGCATTCTAACCTTTAGTTTGATCTGGATACTGCATTTGACTCATCATCTAACCTCTGGTTCTCTGGACTTGAGGCAGCAGTCTGCCATATTGTCTGGTGATCTTGGGATTCATTAATCCCTGCAACCTGTGAGTCAGCAGCCTGTCATTTTACCTGCTGGCTTTAGATTACTCAGCCTCTGCAGCCAGAAGCTTGCTGTCTGACCTATTGATCTTGGGTTTATCAGCCCCTACAGCTATTGAGTCAGGAGAAGCCTTCAGTCTAACAAATGACCCAGACCTTGGACTTGCCAATCTCTACAACTGCATGAGCCATTTATTTGAGATACATTTCTCTATTTATAAGCTTCACTGGTTTGGTTTCTTTAGAGAACCTAGCCTAAGACAGAGAGAGGCTTCCTTAAGTTGATAAAACACATCTACATAAAACCCACAGTTAATTATCATACTTAATTATTTGAGAGATTGAATAAGATTAAGAATATGGTAAAAACGTCTATTCTCAGCACTTTTATTCAGTATAAATCCAGTGCAATAAGCCAAGAAAAGGAAATAACCCTCAGGAAAAAAAAAAAAAATAGGAAAGGAAGAAATAAAATGGTCCTTATTTGCAGACGACAGCCTACATAGAAAATTCTAAGGACTCTTCATAAAGCCATCCTATAACCTATTAAATAAGGAGCTCTGGTAGTGTAGTGGTTACAAATTGGGCTGCTAACCTCAAGGTTGGCAGTTCGAAACTACCAGACGCTTTGCGGGAGAAAGATGAGCCTTTCTGCTCCCGTAAAGATTTACAGCCTCGAAAACCCTGTGAGGGTCACTATGAGTCGGATCTGACTCCATGGTACTTAACAACAACAACAACATACCCTATTAAATCAGTCAAGTAAGGTATCAGGATAAACGATCAACAGCCAACAGCCAAAAATCTATTGTATTTCTAAATACAAACAATGAAATTAAAATACAACACATCTATAATTGCTCAAAAGAGAAATATTTAAGTGTGAATCTAACAAAATGCATATAGTATTCACATGCTTTAAATTGATGAGAGAAATCAAAGATCTAAATAAATGATGAGACATAATGTAGTTATGGATTGAAAGACTCAGCACACAGTAAAGATGCCAAATTTCCCCAAATTGACATATAAATTCAATACAATTCCAAATAAAAACCCCAGTAATATTGTCTCATATATATAAAGGCAAATTTATTCTAGAATTTATATGAAAAGGTAAATGAAGTAGGATAGCCAAAACAAACTGGAAAAAGAACGAAGTGGGAGAAGTCACTCTATCTTACTGTAATACTGATTATAAAATACTGTAATAGTGATTATAAAACTACAGTAATTAAGTCTCTGTGGTGTATTGGTAAAGAGACAAGAGACAGAAACATAATTCAATGGAACCAAATAGAGGACCAGAAATAGGCCCACAGAAACCTAGTGAACTGACTTTTGGCGAAGTTATCACTTATACCTTTGTCAAATTCAATAGGGGAAGAAGAATCTAGTCAACAAATGGTCTGGAAAAATTGTTGCTATTGCTGTTGTTAGGTGTTATCCAGTTGGTTCCAATTCATAGTGATCTTGTGTACAAAACACTGCCTAGTCCTGAACCATGCTCATAATTGCTGTTACATTTGAGTCCATCGCTGCTGCAACTGTGTCAGTCTGTCTTGTTGGGGAGTCTTCCTCTTGCTCACACTCTTCATTTTACCAAATATGATGTCCTTTCCCAGGGACTGATCCCTTCTGGTAATATGTGTAAAGTATGAGAGATAAAGCTTAGCTTTATCTTAGCTTCTAAGGAGCATTCTGGATGCACTTCTTTCCAGATAAACTTGTTTGTTTTTCTGTCAGTCCATGGAGCTTTTTATATTCTTCACCAACACCACAATTAAAAATCATGGATTCTTCCATGGTCTTTCTCATTCATTCCCAATTTTCACATGGATATGAGGTGAATGAAAATGCCATCGCTTTAGTCAGGTGCACTTCAGCCATCAAACTTATTGTCTTTGCTCTTTAAACTTTAAAGTGGTCTTTTGCAGCAGATTCGCCTAATTCGATACATCTTGACTGTTGCTTCCATGATGGTTGATTGTGGATCCAAGCAAAATAAAGTCTTTGACAACTTCAGTCTTTTCTCCATTTATCATGATGTTATTTATTTGTCCAATTGTGAGGATTTTTGCTTTCTTTACATTGAAGTGAAATGCTAATGAAGGCTATAGTTTTTCATCTTCATCAGTAAGTATTTCAAGTAAGTATTCACTTTGAGAAAGCAAGGTTGTATCATTTGCACATCACAGGTTGTTAATGTGTCTTTCTCCAATCCTGATGACATGTTCTTTTTCATAGAATCCAGCTTCTCATATTATTTTGTCAGTATATAAATTGAATAAATATGGTGAAAGGATACAACCCTGGCACACAACTTTCCTTATTTTTAGAACATTCAGTATCCCCTTATTTTGTTCTAATGACTGCACCTTCGTCTATGTACAGGTTTCTCACGAACACAATTAACTGTTCTGGAATACCCATTCTTTGCAATGTTATTTGGAGCTTGTCATGATCCACATAGTCAAAAGACTTGCATAGCCAATAAAGCACAAATAAACATCTTTCTTGTAGTCTCTGCTTTCAGCCAAGTTTCATCTGACATCAGCAATGATATTCCTAACTCTATGTCCTCTTCTGAATCTAGCTTGAGATTCAGGCAGATCACTGTTGATGCACTGTTGCATCTGTTTTAAAATTACTTTCAACAAAAATTTACTTCCATGTGATATTAATGATATTGTTCAGTGATTTCTACATTTCCTTGGGTCACATCTTTTTGTAACGGGCACAATTATAGATCTTTTCCAATTGGTTGGGCAGGTAACTGTCTTCCAAATTTCTTGGCATAGAAAAGTGAGCACCTCCATTGCTGCATCAGTTTATCATTTCAGTTTGTATTCCATAAATTACTGGAGCCCTGTTTTTGGCCAGTGCCTTCAGAGCAGCTTGGGTTTCTTCCTTCAGTACCATCAGCTCTTGGTCATTTGATACCTCTTGAAATGGTTAAATATTTACCATTTCTTGTTGGTATTGTCATTCTTCTTTTGATTCTTTCAATATTTTGCCCATAAAATCCTTAATATTGCAAGTTGAGCCTTGAATTTTTTGTTCAGTTCTTTTAGGTTGAGAAATTCTGAGCATATCTTCTCTTTTGTTTTTCTTCCAGGTCTTTGCACTTTTTGTCATAATACTTTATTTTGTCTCCTTGATCTGACCTTTTGAAATTTTCTGTTCTGCTCTTTCACTTCCTCACTTCTTCCATTCACTTTAGCCTCTCTAGACTTAAGAACAAGTTTCATTATCTTCTGACATCCATTTTATTTAGTCTTTTCTTTCTTTACTGTCCTTTTTTTTTTTAACTTTTTATTGTGAATTAAGTGAAGGTTTATATACAAGATCATCAGTTTTACATTCAACAAGGCATACACCTTTTTCATGCCAATGATTGCAATCCCCTCCATGCAACAACAGTTCTCCTGCTTTCTCCCTGTGGCTCCTATTTCCATTCTACCCTCCTTCCCAACCCTTCTCAATTTTGTCCTTAGGTAAATGTACCCTTTTTATCTTGAATTATTGACCAGTCCATGATAAGCACACCTTACTAGTGTTGTTGTCCCCCCATATATACCTATCTGCTGCTTGGCTGAAAAATGGGCTACAAGGGTGAGCTCCTTTCTAAACCTGAAGAGTTGTTGAGGGCCAGAGTCTCTTCCTGATCAGTAATCCCAGTCTTTCTTTTCTTTTCTTTCCTTCATTTTTTTTTTTTTTTCTTTTTAAATAATTTCGATTTTTGTTCCACATTTTATCTCATCTATGCAGGACATTCTAATGTGACCTTTCAGAGCAGTTGGTAGTGGTAGCCAAGCACCATCTAGTTCTTCTAGTCTCAGAGTTGTAGAGACTGATGTTCACATCTTCTCTTTGTTTGTTGGACTAATTGATTCCAAGTAACTTCAATTTTTATCACTCTTCTTTCTTCCACACATGGAGAGACCAATAGCTGTACTTAGATGACCTCTTACAAACTTTTAAGATTCCGGATGCTACTCACCAAAGTAGGACATAGAACATTTCTTTGTGGACTATGTTATGCCATTGACCATGGTATCCCTGGAGACTATGGTCCTAAGCCACCACAAAAACTCATTGCCTTAAGATGTTTGGTAACATCTAAGAAATTTTCATCATTGCAGGAAAGGTAAATACTCATACACAAATATCCTCATTCAAACGTATATATTTGTGGGTATATTCACATTCTTTCCCCCATATCCATTCAGTCAATGTGTCTATCCATGAGTTTACCCTCAGGACACTGTTATTCCAAATCTCACTATTTATCTCTATTCCATTTAGTCCTTGCATACTTCTGTGTGTCTTCACTTCTCTTCATCATTCTTCTGTCAACTTCCCTTTTCTTGTATACTACCCTTCCCATTCTTATATATTGTCCTCCCCATCACCCAAGGTAACATGCTTCTACAATCTAGCCAG